CTTGATAAACACATTTCCTCAGCGCAACCCATTACTCTGCAGCCACATCTCACTTTAAATCCGCAAGTACGCGATTACGCCTTACAAGCGCTGGATTTGTCTGATAAAAACTATACCGTATTGGTTCCTGGAGCCGAATATGGCCCTGCCAAGCGTTGGCCTGCGGCGCACTTTGCCAAGCTGGCTGCGCTCATAGGTCAGGACATCGTTTTATTAGGCTCCACCAAGGAATACGATTTGTGCCAGGAAATTGAGCAATTGGCATTAAGCTCCAACCCGCAAAACACTGACCTACGCATACATAATATCGCTGGAAAAACAACGCTAGACTCTGCTTTGGCTGTGATTAGCGGCGCCCAAGCTGTGATTAGCAATGATTCGGGGCTGATGCACGTGGCTGCAGCCTTGCAAGTACCCCAAATTGCTGTTTTTGGCTCCAGCAGCCCGCTGCACACGCCACCGTTGTCCGAAAAAGCCCATATATTATGGCTGGCGCAAGACACCAAATACACGCCAGCGCTAGAATGTGCCCCCTGTTTTGCTAGAATTTGCCCCTTGGGGCATACGCGCTGTTTGCAAGATTTGTCCCCACAGCGCGTGTATGAAGAATACAATTCTCTACTCCATTTAAATCAACCCATTAAAAACAAATAATTATTATGGCAAGCAGCTTTTTTTTACTATTTGACGACATCGCCACCCTTTTGGATGATGTGGCTACCATGACCAAAGTGGCTGCAAAAAAAACCACCGGCGTTTTGGGCGATGATTTGGCGCTCAACGCCCAACAAGTAACAGGGGTGAACGCCGACCGTGAGTTGCCGGTAGTTTGGGCAGTAGCCAAGGGCTCGCTTATCAATAAAGCGATTTTGGTTCCTGTGGCCTTGCTCATAAGTAAATTTGCGCCTTGGGCTATCATCCCTTTGTTAATGCTGGGCGGTCTTTATTTGTGTTTTGAGGGTTTTGAGAAAATTGTCCACAAGCTCATGCACTCCAAAGCCCAAGACGCCGCCCACCACGCCAAAGAGTTGGCCGCTGTGGCTGATGACAAGGTAGACATGGTCGCCTTTGAAAAAGACAAAATCAAGGGTGCTATCCGTACAGATTTTATTTTATCGGCAGAGATTATCGTCATAACGCTAGGCTCC